GGTAGTTCGTCGTTTGATACATAGGCGGCGCAAAAAAAAAATTTTTCTTGCTCGAATTTTCCTGCTAGTTTGGCAGAGGTAGAAAAAAGTCCCCAACGGAAAGTTCACTTTTACCTATTTTCCCGGGACGGGACTTGACAATCCAGCTTCTCACTCTTCTTAATGTTTTTGATGAATGCCCGTCGAAAATTAGTGCATGGTGTTTGACGGAGTTGACCAATGATGCCAGGATTGAAAAATGATTTTTCTATTTTAATTTTAATTTGATTCGGAGTTTCTACACACAAAAAAAAAACATTTGCAGATTTAAGAAAAACGTTGGTTAAAATAAGAGTACGCATTAGTTCTTTTTGGTAGAGAGTTCAAAGCTTTCCCTGCAAATGTTTAGTAACATTCACATCAAGAGCTTGGTCATAATTTTATTTTAAAAGGTGCTCCTCTCGTTCAAACTTTTTAAATGTCAAATCCAAAGCATTTCGTGTTTAATGTGAAAATCTGCTTATTTTGTAGGAACAAATAAATACTTTCCAAATAAAAGTGTTGACATTCGAGATAACTGCGATGTACTCTCATAATAAAATGATAAAATTTTTGAAATGACATGAATAATTTCATAATTCTGTTGTAAAATGTGATTGTAATAAAAATAAAAGGTTTCAGACAGATTATATTTTTTGTTTTATTTTTAAATAATGCATTTATACAGGTTATTAACTATACTAATTAAAATATTTCTTAACACGTATGTAGCTTTTACCATTGTTCAGTAGGTAAACATGAATTGGAGGGCCGTCAAAAATATCTGCGTCTAACATGGCAAAATTATCCATTTTTGATCCTACCTCGTAGGACACAAAATGATCTCTGTAACCTATGATCTGATATTCAGCAACAACTAACTGGAATTTGTTATCTGTTATAATGATTGTGTCATGAATTTCGTACAGTTTTACACTCTGTCCATTTGATACTGTTAAAAAATCATGTTTTTGATAAAACGTACCCTTATATATAACAGATTTACATATTTTCACTGTCTGGTGATTGATATTAGAAACATTAAGTTTATTAAAATAATCTAATTGACTTATTTGTAACTGTACATAGTTTTCACATTGAATGTCATGTTTGAAGAAACTATTGGTATAAATGTTATTTGAAAATTTGAGACATGCCTTAATTGATATAGTTTGTAAAATATTCTTTCTTGTCTTTACATTTCGTGCAACTGTCTTGTGTTGTTGGTGCTCTTCTTCAAATTTGAAGCATTTCATGTATTTAACAGGGCCTTTCTCTTTAATAGAATCGCAATAATGTAGCAAAAAATGAAATTTGGGTTTTAGCTTCGCATCCGGAAATAACTTCAAATATTGTGTATGATGATTCTCAATTTCGTTTTTCAATTTTTCGAGCAATTCTCTATCGTATTTGGGAAGTAAAATCAGATCAATTATTTTCAATAGTGAGCAAAAAAATAACCATACGGGGTCGCGTTCAGGAATTTTATCACCGATTATTAAAGGGAAAAAATGGACGAAGCTCATCATTTGCCTTGCTGACATTTTGAAATTACCCTCCTTGATATGATTTGTTGTGAATGGCTTAGCCAAGTATTTCATTTCTGATGATCCGAGCTTAAACATTTGTTTACGATAATTTATGGTTTCCAGAGTTATGTTTAAATTATGTAGTAGATAATTTAAAACTAGCATTAAATCATATTTACATACACCAGAAGAATAGATATCGTGCATAAGGTCCACTCCAACATTTTTGGTAACGTGAAAGTATTTAAGTTCATGAAAAATAGATTTACGTTTTATTCCCGTTTTACGAAAATCATTAGCCGTGATGTCTTCTTCGTAGTTTTCTACATCTCTAATGTACTCCGAGTGAACTACAACATCATTCTCCATTTCAGCCTTGCTTCTTTTACAAAATCGGCAATAGTAAAACGAGCTGAAAGATGTTGTAAAGTCGATGAGCATATTTAAGCCAAGATTATCACCCAATAAAGCGCCTAATACGAAATACACCCGATGAGTTTTGCCTCCAACTTGAACATCTATGCCTTCATTTTCAAGTGAAACTAGAACATCAACAAGCGGTTTAATTGACTTTTCTACGCCATATCCAGCAAAATCATTCGAATTTATAAAAGCTGCTACGAATACATTCTCCAATCTGGACAGATGATGAGTTGGAATAGTGGGGAACTGATAGTAGAAGCCACAAATTTTGTGAGTCCCAGCATTTGATCCTAAAGGATCACATATTTCGGCATCATCAGAATACAAAAAGTACGGAATAACGATACGATTTAAATAACCTAGCTTAACTTCTTTCCACAAAGTGCCATTTATGAAATTATCTATTGTATCTGACTTTTCGAGGTTTTCCATGTGTTGTATTGTTTCTGTAAAAATAGTCCCCGTCTCAAAATACTTTTTTATCTGGAATTTAATCGGCAGGATGCATCCTCTAACTTGCTCTAAATCTATTGTGGGTTCTCCATGCATCACCATTTCCACAAGTTCATTTCCAATTGTGTACATTTTTGGTGGCTTGAACAAATCATTCTTTATCAATTGAGAAAACATGCGATGCTCAGTTGCAATGAAATCAAATGGATTGGATAAACTATCATATAGAGATTGAATTTCGATTTTTTTGCTCTCATCTGGTATGTGAAGTAGTGTAGCATCTGATATTGTTTGTAGCATTGGTCGTATTATTTTACTGGTCACATCGGTTTGTATATCAATCACATTTTTTCTAGTTAAATTACTGTTGTTATGAAGTCCAAGGGTAAATGAAAAAAACGATTCCCTCACATTATTTAGCATGTCATCTCTAGTTTTTGTAACAGATTCATCCTCTTCTACAAGTTTATTTGCAGATCTACAGTTAGATTCTACATGAACGCCTACATTTGTCTCTTCTGTACTTTCGTGACTTTCTGCGGCTTGTTTTTCTGTGGGCCTAAAGCTAGATTCTCCATGAAAGTCTGGATTTGTCTCTTGTTCTGGTTTTTTAGCTTCATGCTTTAACTTAAGATGTCTTTGGTAACAATAGATATTTTGAAATTTAAGATTAGGATTACAATGAACGCACTTATATGTAAAACAGCTCGGTGTACCATGAATTTTCTTCAGATGTTTGATCAGGATCGCTGCCTCGCTGAAACTTGAGTTGCAAATAAAGCATATCATTGCTGTAAGATGTGCTCGAGGTTGATGATGGCGCTGGATTTGGAGTGTTTCACTTTCTCTTCTTTCAGAAAGTGTGTTCGGACGAATACCCAAAACAGCTCATTATATGGAGAAAAGTCCAGTCCAAACACTAGGCAGCTTTTCACCACCAGATCAATGCACTTCAAGAAAGAGCATGTTTTCCAGAAAATATTGTCCTTCACAACGTAAAACTGACAAAGGTTAGTGTCTTCCGGCCCAACGACAATAATTTTTGGTTGAAACGTATCCTTATGGCCTTTTAGTTCTTCAATTGCAGGGCCAATATCGTTAGCAGTTATACAATGAATCACGGAGTCCTGTTGCGCTTGGATAATTGTTGGCAATACTTTATGTCCCACGCGTTTGGGTTTGACTATACATGGGAAGAGCTTGTACAGCAGGAAGTTCCGAGAACCTAAAAAAAGTAACATTGATGAAATAATGATGTATTGTTGGATGAAAATTATTATTACATTGGGAGATATCCGGCTGCTTGAGTTTTTGAACAATTTCCAAACATGGTGCGTCTCGGATTACAACGGTCGATGCATGACGGTAAAATTTATCAGCAAATGAAGTCCACAACAAAAGCAATTTATTTCCATTACCTGGATTTAGAAACTCATAGTCGATATCAATCTATAGATAGACAAATATAAAACCGGTAGATTTTTTTTATTAATATTCACTTAAATACACGATAATAACATTTACAGAGTATATTAGTTATGATAAACCGGTGTAATTTTTTTTTCATTTTCCTACGACAAATCTTAAGCGGTTCCATTTTGGCCCCCTTTTTAGTTTGAAATTATTTGGTTGTGCAAGCAGCTGGCTGAAACTGTTTACAGTTTGTATATGTAAATACATATATAAAAAAACACTGGTTCTCATTCAACCATATATTGCTGATTGCAGCTGAAACTGGACTGTCCTAAAAATGCAAAAAGTGTGATAAAAGTGCGCGTTTCCGTCAAATCGTGTTGATGTCTTCGGAGCACTTATTGCTTGCATCATAAGGAATAAGTGCACCGAAGACACCACGACCATTAGACGTAAACTTGCAATTTTATCACACTTTTTAATAAGTGAAAACGCGCTTATTAGTCCAATTTGGTGTGAAATGCGCAATGTATATAAATTATTCATTCAATTCTACAAAAACCACATTGAAACCTTTTTAAACCTACAATGTGAGGAACTACCTTGCTGCTGACGGGGGAAATCGATTCCACTTAGCGGGTAAAAGTTTGACGGTTTTGTTTCTATTTGCTGCGGAATAACAATATCAACAAAAAACCTCTTGCACTGAACAATAACTTTTTTTTCTGTTTAGTCGAATAGATTTCCTGCCTTCGAGAAAGTTGTTCCTCACATTGTGAACTATAGATTGCTTCTTTTGTGGTTGTGGCAGCATTTAATGAATAATTAATATATATGATTGAATTAGAAGCAGTGTGTTTTCATATATTTTTCCATACATATAATCTAAAAATTGTTGAGTCAGCTTATGATGCAACTAAAAATAGCAAACTGAAAAGAAGTTCATCAGGGGCAAAAAGAGGACCAATTTAAGCTTTGTCGTGAAAATTTGCACCGGTCTAATAAATATGGTAATAAGTAAACTATTATCAAACAGAAGTTCACAATAGTTTGAACTAGGAGAACATGGAGTACGAAGAACACAAAAAACATACTGTTGGTTGCGAGGGGGGCGACTCTACCTGCGATGCAGAAAATATTGTCTTTTGTTATGTGCGCGCACGCTTAATAGATAGAAATAAAGTTTATATCGCTTCTGAAGATTTTCTGCAAAAAGATTACGCGCAATGCAAATAGATGCGAGAAATGAAAGAAGATTTGCCGAAGATTGATTCGCTAGTGTGATATTTTTTGAGCATCTAGAATTGAGATTTAGAGGTGTCGCCCCCCCTCGGTTGATTGGTTCTCTATACATTTCTAACTTGAAAATATTGTTCTACTTACATAGACAGGACCTTCCGAGTCTCCAAAACGTGGCCAAGATTCCAGTAACTTAGAAATTTTATTCTGTGCTTTAGGGATTTCCTTGATCATCTGCAACCGAAACGGATAAGTTTTCTTCCACTTCTCCTTGACATCGGCTAAAGGTGTGTTATTATTTTGTAGCCATGCCTGATCTTCCTTCAGCGAAACTAAATCTAAATAAAACAAATTAAATAATAAAAAAAACTAAATAGTATACTGTCGTTCTTAAACATATCTGTCCCAAAATCACAACAAAGTGTAACAATTTTCAACTCTTGATAAACATTTCAAAATATCCTATCTGCATTGACCGATTCTCTTCATCGACTTTCTCTTTCGTTATTAACTCAGTTGCAAAGCCATTCCCTGTTGTATTTGACGTTTTGAACGATAGATAAGAACCTCCTTTATCAAACCATGTGGTAAAAATAGCTTGAAATCTGTTTGAATAGCAGTGGTTGTCAAAAGAGAAAGTCGATGAAGAGAATCGATCAAAGAGCTAAGCGAAACAATTTTCTAGAACTTGTTTAAGGCACAGTTGTAACAGGTTGTATTGCCTATCAAAAGCAACAGCAAACGTACCGAGAAACGTTAAATCTAGCGAGTTATTAACAAAAGAGAAAATCGATCATCGCGTTTACGCCCTTATGCATGCTCACTGTCGATATATTTACCTTCAGGGCCGTACTTTTGATTGGATACGTCACTTTCGTTGGAGTTTTGCAGTTTCACTTTCTTCTTGCGTGGTGACTGGAGAGCTTTCCGGTCACTTGAGTTATAGTACTGATGATACAACAGACCTGACGGATTTATCTTTCCGATAGATTTATCACGCGGACACAGATAAGTTTCCTGAAAAAATTAAAAAGTGCAAAATTAGAACGAATCATAATGGAAATTGTCTATAACAAAACTAGCAGAGTACTTTTCTTTCAGAGCCAAGTTTAGCAACGATAAGTTCTGCGAATTTGTCCATATCAGCGACTGGGAAATTTTTCCCTTGTGCGATATACGAGTCGACTATAATCTGACTGAGTTCTTTTTGCATCACTTTGTTTACAGTTTGGTATTTACTGTAATATCGCATTATTATTTTTCCTTTCTCGTTAACGTTTAATAATCTGTCGAGGTCTTGCGCTTGAACCTGTGACTTGGCGAAGTTAAGTTTAGAGCAAATTTCTTTAGCAGGCTGGTACTGTGCAGATGAGGGCCAATTACGTAGTTTGTTCAGTAGTCGGAACTTCTCTCCCGTTCGACAGGGTTCAAACAGTTCATTTACATCTGCTATTGAAACTTGTTTCAGGTCTTCATACTCTAGTCCTTTTTCTGAAATAACGAATTTAAGTAAAAAACAGATATTAGGAAAGACCGTGGGAAAGATTGATCAATTAAAATTAAAAATTAAATATCGTTAGAAATTCCGATGTTGGTTTGCGTGGACGTGGATTATAGAGTATTCCTCTGTGCCAACATACACTTCAGAAAAACAACAATTAACGTACCTTTCAATAGCACATAAATGCTGTTGCTCAGTTTCCATTCGTCAAGCTGCTCTTTAAGAGGGGAGCTTGGAGAGCAGCTACTAGCCGAGCCACCGTCGTAAGTCCCACTCGATTCGGAATGCTCCGGAAGGTCTGAAGAACACCTAATATTCTGGTTCACTTTTTTCGGAAGCACCTCTTCGACTTCGCATGTTTCGTTTATGTGTTCTAAATAATGAAAGAAACGATAAAAAAATAAGTTAATGGCAACAGTTTTATTGCAATAATATAAACCCGTAAATAAATAATATGAGCCAAGCGTAGATCCGAAGTTTATTCATTATCTCATTGCAGAGAACATAACCTTAAAAAATCCAAAACCTAATAACACGAAAATATGTAGGAGTATGATAAAAATTACCTGCATTACAATCCGTTCCTCTTCCGACAGTACCAGCCGCCGAAACTGAAGGTTGCTCTTCCTGCTTCTCGTCTTCGTCCTGCGCTTCCTCGGAAGAGGAATCAGTCCCGCTCTCCCGGTCGCTCTCGTATACATTTACGAACTCTGGTTCTCTACGCATTTCCACTGCTTCCACACTTACCTTAACTATTTAGCTCAGATGCTGCGGAAATGTAATTTATTATATTTCAACAATTTTTTTTTTCGGAATCTTCACACCTCGCGTGTTTGTGTTGTTATGTGAAATCCAGAACAGTGCATGCAGAATGGATGGTAAAAGACTGACGCATGGAATTGGCATCAATGCCACACTGAAAGTCAACCTATTCTAATTTTAAAAGTTTACACTTTTAATTTTAAATGGAAATCAACCAGATTTCACTTTTGATTTAAATGATATATTCTAGGAATAAGATTTTTCATCTTGATTTACCAAATTTAAGCGAACTTTTAAAAGAAAAGTTCAATATTTTCAAGGACACAATCTTTTTGTTTTGTGTGTACCGCAGCTTAACACCTTGTACATCATTTTTGTTTAACACAATAAAAACAACCATAAACAAACAAGAATATCCATCTCTTAAAGCACGCCCTGGACCCTATTTTCCAACTTTCCTTTCGCAAATATAAACAATTAACAACGCCATTGACGTCAACAATGATTCCGGCATCACTGCCAGGCAGATTGATATGATCCCTATGTTCTTTTTATCAGACGATTGCTACTGTCAAATCGACCAATCAGCAACTGGCTCGGATTTGACAGCAAATTGGCTCGAAATCGCTACCCGATTGTCAAGTCCCGTCCCAGCTATTTTCGACTAGTTTGTCTCCTTTTCTCCTTCTAATGTTTTCAAAAACGGAGGAGCAAAACCACCCAACAGGGGTAGTAAAGTGTGGGAACCCAACGTTGAATATAATCATATTTACCTACTTTTGGGTTCAACTAACTTACTTTTGGTTAAAAAGCCAGTGGAAAATTCCATACGAATTGCACACAAGTAAATGAAATTTATTTTGACTCGTTTTACCTACTTTTTGGTTCCTGTACTATAGTGCCGAGATGAGTGAAAAGAACTTAATATAGTGGCAAGATGAGTGAAAAGAACTTAATTTTGGGAACTTTTTTCTAACCGTGTACTCTATACGCACGGTTGGAGAAAAGTACCCAAAATTAAGTTTTAATAAACTCAATATTGGGTTCTGTCGGCTGAGGTTTGTAGTTGAATCTATCAGTACGAAACTATCGATTTTAAATTTCCTCACTACTTGACTAGCCTCTCGACTAGCCTATAGAGATCTCCAAGCGCAATTTCACGAACACTAAAATCCAACATCCATACATAAAAATAAAGAAGAAGAAGAAACAAAAAGGTATCGCGATATCACAACTACTTAAAAAGGTAGCGCGCGGTCTCACGCACACTTTTGTGCATCTGGAGAACTCTATTGGTCCCAAGCAAGGTCGATTAACGTACCCCATTCTAGTCGAAATTCTAGTACTAAACAATGTTTGTTTTGATCAGTGCTGCAAGGTGGTTTTATAAAAAATCTGTATCCACTCTATTAAAAAATCTGTATTTTCTGTATTGACGATTTTTTTCTTAATTAATCATGTTTTGTTGTTTTACAACTACAGTGCATACAAAATAACCATAAAAAGTGCTTAACCACCTATTCGGGCTATCGTACTAACCTCGACTAACCATACGGGATATAATTGCGCCATTTGTGATATCGTCCGTACTTATTTATTAGAGTGATATGAAGCCGTTTAAAAATGTATGGAGATTTTAGTTTCTATTCATTATCTTCCTGATAAGCAGTTTTAAATGCAAAAAAGTGCACGAGTTCATTACTATTTGATATTTTTAATATAGATGAATACAATTAATTACATCATTTGTGTGGTAGTCACACCGAAAAGTCGAGAGATGTCGCCCCGCTAGTGCTGGTAAAATCATTTTTGCAGTATGGATAATCGAAATACATTTTCAATGCAAGTAAAATGTTTACGAGTACTTGTATTTGTACCATTTTAATGTGCTCGGGCACTTTTCTTGTATTTAACATACATGATTATATTGGAAATATTCAATTAATAGTGTAAATCCCCATACAATCTCAAATCGTTTACTACCAGCTCCATATGCATCCAAAAGCGGTTGGTCCTCTGGTTGTGAATGCTGTCAAAAACACCATAACATGATTAATTGTCAATGGAAATTTGATAGGTTCCCGAGCAGAGGGTGAGAACAACATGAAAACAAGAATTATGTTGTTTTCATTATTCCTGATAACTCAAATTGATTTCATTTTGATGGAGTTGATGGCTAACAGAACAAAAATAAGAGCTAAAAGATATGCGAAGAATATCAATATATAATATCATATATATCAATATATTAGTGAGAACTGCTTGACAACTTATTTTGATAAAGATTTTTTTTTTCTCAAGCATTTTATAAAAATCTGTATAAATCTGTATTGTAATTTAAAAATCTGTGATAAATCTGTATTCTGTATCGGGTCTGTATTAAGATTAAAAAATCTGTATAATACAGATAAATCTGTATAAATGGCAGCGCTGGTTTTGATTCACTATGAATAGTTTGACAGATAAAATGAGGGGATAGTGGATTTTCCTATATATATGTTTAGAGGGGTGAATCGATTAGCTTGGGACCGAAGATACTACCAGAGCTGAGCTAAAAAGATGAGCACGTTTCTTCAGGACCTTCTGGTCTTAGAGTTACCTCTATGGAAGTACGACATATTATGAGTTACCTCTATGATATTATGCGCAGTGAGATCAGCTACCAAAAAATGCCGAACTTTTGAGAACAAGGAGCGCATTTCGTGGCGGTGGCCAACAAGATCATCAAGGCATGACTTGAATCTCGTGTGAAATCCATTTTTGATTAAACGAATGTTAAATGTACACTTAAAACCAAAAATAGTAAAAAACAAAACAAAACCTGTCAGCAGGGCGTCACAATATCAGCTTCAATCGATGCGACAAAAAGACTGCTGGCTTTCTTTTTCTGTTGAAGTCGAACAGCTTCGCAGCATTATAGACCCACAAACGAAGTGACAGACGACTAACTGGCGAAGAAATCCATTAAAATAATGTGGTTCACTGTAATAGAATTTTCTCGGAAGGTTGTGCCATCATACACCAGATGGGTTAGTTTTTTTTGTTTTCATTTCAACAAAGTTGATTTTGTGTACAATTATTCTTTGATAGTGTGCAAAGAGTGTATCATTTTGTCATTTTTTTTATGCATTTCAGTTTTGAGTAGAGTGAAAGAGATAGAACCAAAACATTCTAATACATTTGGTGAAAATGCTGGTACAATCCAGTAGTAGTGTTGCCATGTGATACAATCTAGTAGTAGTGGTGTTGCCATGTGGTACACTGAAAAATTGAAATAGCAGGTTAGTCACCAAAGTTTTTGAGCCGCTCCGTCTGTCACTTCGTTTGTGCTAGAACCTCAGTCGGCGTGCACAAACAAATGTTCAATCGCTTGTCTCTCTTTCTCCCGTCGCTCCATTGGTCTTCCTTTCAAGCTTCGGTGAAACGGATGAGCGAAAGAGCGCTCGAATTTGATAGTTTTCTCTTTCATGAAACACATCAACAGAGGTTTCATCGTATTAATGTTGATACTTGGAGCTGTCCTTCCCCTAGCACCCAACTCGTGAGTTATACCAGAAAAACTCAAACTAGGGTTATTTTTCGGTAGGAAATTTAATAGTACATATTGATATGTTGGATAATCTGTTTAACTAGAATAGCTGATCCGAGAGCTGATCGGCATTCATCAACGAGGTCGTGATTAAGTGGGTAGAGAGCCTCATTTTGGATCTCGAAAAGACAAGCTTTTTCATGCAAGCGTTTCTACAAAAAATGCTTCGCTTTAGCTTCCGCAATGAAGCCCCTTGTTCTAATAATATTAATGCAAATAATACTCATGCTCAAAGTTTGTCATACACACAAAAAATAATCATTGATAAAATAAAAAAAAACCGTTGATAGAATTAAAAGTATGTATTGGTTCTTTTTGGTAGAAAGTATCTAACTTTCAAAATGAAAGTCAGCCAACTGTCAAAACAAAAGTTTAGCATATTATTAATTTTAAAAGTTTAAACTTTCAAATCGAATTGTAGAACTGTCAAACTAAAAACCAAATACTTTTAGATTGACGTTGGAAAAGTTTTGTTTCAAAAGAAGGTTATTTCACAGCAATTAGTATAAGTTTTCATCTCAAATACGAATTATTTTTAATTTAATTGCTTTTATGAAAGGAAACATAACCAATATTTATATTTATTTAAATATTTTGTTAATATACATATATTTTATTTTTCACTAGATTTTTCATTCACATCACGGTTGTTAATATCAGGGATGTTTTGTTTGGCGGATGGCTTTGGTGAAGGTTTTCTCGCAGACGCGGGGCTCCAACATGCAGTGGACTTGGTCGAACGAAAGTGCATCTTATTTACACTGTTGGCTGACGATAAGCAGCGACACCTGGTGCGACTAAATCTTACCAGTATCCTATAGAAATGAACGGAATTTGTAATCCCTCCAGCGATACATTGCAAACTCTATTGGTAGCCACCGAAAATCTCTGCAGTGTGCTCTGACGTCCAAATATGCTGGCGATCTGGAAAATAATCATTTAGTTTTTCGAAACCACTCTCGAAATATCTAGACAGTAGTTGCAATCTTACCTTCTGCAAAAACTTTACTCTTTCTCATTGTCTCCAGTACCGGAATCGGTTCCCGGAACTGCACGATGCACGATTGATTTTCTGCGGTTTGATTCTCATACTATATGCCCTATTGGTTTTTGGACCATGACAATGAGCTTTTCAAGAGGTGATTCTGACAGTTGTATTATTTTTGTTTTAAAAGTATGAACTTTTAAAATAACATGTCGATAGTGAAAGAAAAACTTTCAACCCAAAGAAGAACAATTCATTTTGAAAATATTCGTAGTTGAAACTACCAAATTCGAGAAACTTTTAAATTGAAATGTTAAAATTTTTAAAGATACAATTTTTGTTTTTTGTGTGTACAAGTGTATCCGCGGCATACCCGGAAGCCATACAATTACCATAAAATAAAATACAAACACAACACAATCTATTGCCAAAAATCGATCTTACTGTGTTAGAGATGAACTAGCCTTCGGCTAAAAATCTCTATTATAAAGATCTTAATGTATGTATATCATAAAATTTTAAAATGTAAATTTAAAATATTGTATATTGTATAACAATAGATCAACAATACGTTCCATATAAAGTATGAAATTTCAACATTAGAAAACCAATAAAATTAATGGTAAATGGCTCAAGTTTGTTAAAGAAAAAGTGATTTTTTGTACGGTCAAGATACATAACAACCCCCTTGTCCTATTGCGAATTTCCCCATTTACTATAGATTCTATTGTGGAAACAATAAATTATATGATTATTTTACCGTGGTGGACAGTACGATTTATTTTAAGTACAATAAATGCTATTTTATGGTTACAATACATTTAATTGTATCTCAATGGTTCGTTTTTTGACGGGTAACTTATAGCAAGCTGCACAACTCTGGATCAACAATAGAAAAGGGCTTATCAGCATTTGTAAACAAACCATTCCAAAGCCCATGCCTCACAAACCGAAGGCCGCTCACACAAACCAACACCTTCATCATGTAGGTAGAAGTTTCCCCTATCCCCTATCAGATGATGGTGTTGGTTTGCGTGGGTGGTCTTCGCTTTGTGAGTAAAGGGCTTTGGAACGGTTTGTTTACAAATGCTGATGGGCCATTTTCTATTGTTGATCCAGAACTTGCGGTAAGAGTATAAATGTAAGTACGGGAAACGACCTATTATTCGGTTAATTTGTAACGTGACGAAAAGCACGTTTGATTGAATTCAATCTTAGGACTTTTGTGATGAAACTTTGTATCATCTGGGAAAAATAAATAAATTAGTGACAAATGTGACTTAGTAATTTTTATAGATTTTTATGAGTAAAATTTGTTTAATCTTGAAGCTTTTATTTTAAACACTGAATGTAAATGTTGCGGTTTTTTATTCAGAATACACAGAGCATTACATTTTCTATTATTGTTTTTAGGAGTGCCTATTTTTCGATATCAAAGGGACAACACCGACAAACCAACATGAAAAATTTTCGCGGAAAATGTTTATCATTGCCACGAACACGTGTATATAATTTATGAGTTGGTTCGTGTCACGTCCGGTTGAATTGGTGCGATATGTGAGCGCGTGTTAGGGAAAATCCGAGGAAAATACATAACAAATCGCTGTCAACTCATTTTGACAGATCTAATTTCATACATTTTTAGGTTAGTCAGAGGAACATAATAAACAACTTTACATGGCGATGTAGCCGCTAATGTGCGTCAAGGTGTGTGTGTGTGTGTGTGCGTTAAACGTCACTAATCTATATTCTGGACAATCTAGATCTAGATAAAAAATTTATGGTTTTGACCGATTGGACCACTGAACATTTGAATCGACCTTTATGGATTTTATATCAAGAGTTAAGTTTAAATTTCATGTCGGTTTGTCGGTGAGAACAATTTCAGCATAGACAAAAAGACGTAAAATCTCATTCATGATCATCGTACACTATACACGCTATTACAAAACTATCCATATTTGGGTAGAATCCACCCAGATCCGTCAAAACTGAACCTACCCAAAAATGGGTAAATTGTATTGGGAGTGACAAGTTGACAAATGAACAACGTCGATCGGACTCATGGTGGGTATATACCAAGGGGGGGAGGTGGCTGTCAAATACGAACAATCGTCGCCTACCTCGCATAACTGGTTCCAAACGTAAACAAGCCATAAGAAACCTACAGCGTTTGTTTACGTTTGGAACCAGTTTCATACAAGAATGATCAGTAGGCTGATTTGACAGCACGTGGTAATACAGCTTTGTCACTATAAGACTGTCCAGCCACGAGACAGTTGTGATCAGCTGACTTTTTGATTACCAAGAACTTTTGACAGATCACAGTAGAACCAACAATCAATACGAAACTAACGATTTTAAATTGGCTCACTACTTGACTAGCCTATTGGTCCCAAGCAAACGATTAACGTACCCTATTCTAGTTGAAATTCTATTACTACACTATGTTTGTTTTGATTCGCTATGAAAGTTTGACAGATAACATCAGGGGTGTGTGGATTCATGCAGAACACACGGTAAGAAAAAAGTACCCAAAATTGAGTTCCTTTCACTCATCACGTGGCTTCCGTGGGGCTAGGTAAAATTAAGTTAAATAAGAAAACTCAATTTTGAGTAATCCTGAAGTTGACAAAAAAATAATAAAACGGAGCAGGCTGGAACCGAACCATGGACGTTGAGATTACGGGGCCCGTGTTTTGACCACTCGTCTATCAACGCTTGTGAAAATGAAATGGTTAAAGTCGCATAAGAGCAACCTCAATTAAAATAAACTTATGTTTGAGTTATTTATTATTACTCAATAGTTGAGTAAATTTTAACCAACGCCGCTTTTCTGATTTACTCAACGGCGGACCTCAAATGATAGAACCCAACGTTGAGTTTTTTTTAACTTAATTTTGAGTATTTTTTTCTTGCCGTGCATGCAGGGGTGAGTGAAATAGCTTGGGACTGCTTGGGACCGTTGTTCTGGTACTGAGTGAGCCAAAAATAATAATGATTTTCTTCGGGACCCAGTGGTCTTAGAGTTACCTCTATGGTAGAACTGGCAGTTTATTCTCATATAAATTTCTGCTTTGTTTATGCTTACATTACAGCACCATTAACACCAGATCACTCACACACTCTAGATTTATAGCTGTCAGTTCCACTGTGAAACGTCTCTTGGATCACCTTATATGGGCGAGGAGATTTCGGGGAGGGGGCTGGGGGGGAGTGCGGTTTTAGAGCAAATTGTAAACAAACTCGATCGCTGTCCCATACAAAAATCCAACATGGCTGAATCATGAACTTGACACATTAGAACACCTATGTAGTCACCTTGATAGGATTCATGTCAATGTTGTTCATTTGTCCACTTTTCACTCCCAACAAAGTTTTACCCATTTTTGGGTAGATTCAGTTTGAACCAATCTGGGTGGATTCTACCCAAATTTGGGTAGTTTTGAAATAGCGTTTAGACGTTCACTACACAGCAAAAAAAAAGTACCATAGATCAACGTAATTGAGGCTGATCTATCAAATCAGTGTCAACATTTCAAAGGGGCGTAATTGCTTTTGTAAACAATGACTTTAGCCGTCAATTTCTCGAGAATGATATCTTACCTCTCCAAAATTACAATGCTAGCTGGTAGAGGAAACATTCCTTTACCTGGTGGTGTTATTATTTTTCATGAGTGAGCTTTTATTTGCGAGAAATCTATGGCTAAAGCCATTGTTTACAAATGCAATTACGCCCCTTTGAAATGTTGGCACTGAAATATTGATGTTGATGTGATCTCAAAAAGTAGATACAATATTACATCCATGGATGTAAATTTGTTCGCAAAACCTGTGTACATCGTCTAATGTAATATTAAACAACTAATGGAATGATCTGGTTGTAGCAGTTTCGATATAATATTCAACAACTATTTTTTTGCTGTATAGCTGAAACATGTTTATTTTTCAATTAGTTTCTTATAAGAAACTAATTGAAACATGTTTAGCAAATATTTTATATTTTTTATTTAGATAATTCGGGAGGTGTCAATTATTCAAAGAGTTACGTTTGTTTGCCTATGGCTTCAGCAAGTTTAACTGTTCTGTGGTGGGATTGCAAGGAGAAGCCTGCGATAACTATGACCTCAATCGATCGACTACAATTCACCCATTATTGCAATAGTGAAACATTTTTCAGCAAATTCATCGCAATGGTCTCCATAATTCTTTGATCGCACGTTTGAGTTTGATTGAGACTAAATTGGACGAGTATAACGAGATAGGTGGTGGCTGCACCAACAAGCTGAAAAGATATGCATAGAAATTTGTTAAATTAAGTCGTGTCAGGTGCAAGACGCTATCTCACCGTAAATAGCAAAGTGAAATCGAGCTTAAAAAATCCGTATGCTGTAAATGCCACCTTTCTGTGGCTCATTTGCAATGATAGGTTTGTGAGCTGTGTGAGAAATGTAAAACAAAACTTTTTTCTTCTGCTCAAGCTGTCCAATTGATCTCTTTCCATACCTGCTTGGTTAACTCTTCATCATAATTGTTTACGTTTATTAATTTATGAACATTCACCGCAATTTGTTTGTTCTGAAAAATGAAAGAAATAGAACAAAATATTCTGAATTAATCGATTATCTAAGGTTAGTCATTTCATTGCTAGCATGTGTAGAGTTAATAATATCAGTTATGGCTACCTCCCTGGAGGAGAGCACGAAGAAGAGAGAGAGAGTAGTAACTCGAGAGAGGAAAGAGCTAGGAAAACAACGAAGTAGTATACTGGGGGGAGAAGAGTTGCTATCACCGTGGTGTACGGACGTGTAATAAAGTGTGGATATTGAACGTATAATAATTGTTAGTTGTGATTATTTGAGAAAGCCATTCCCTGTCTTCCCTTTGGATTCTACAATTGGCGCAGCCGGTAGCATCGAAAAAGGTGAGTTTCTTTGGAAAATAGGTTTTTTTTTCCTTTAGATCCATGAAATTGGACTGAGACACTGGAAAGAAAATGGCGGCTTGTAATTGTGCGTCACTAAATTAAACTATTTTGAGTAGGAAATTATAGCGAGCCCGGTTGAAGCTCATAGTTGCGATTGTATAAATGATTGATTGAAAATGAGTGAGTTTTTTTTTTCATGAGTTCATAGTGAAATAGTTCCTAGACCAGTGGTAAAAGCTGTAGACCAGGTAGAACAAAATGAATTTGTGAGTGTGATGACTACAGAAACGAAGAGGAACGAAAAAGTGCCAGCCCATATGACGCGCACGATGATGATTGCTAGTCCAGCGAAGATGGCTGTAGAGCAAGAAAAAGAGAGCGAGAGTCGAAGCGCTCAGATGCGATGATTGCTAGTCCAGTGTTGATGGCTGAAGAGCATAGGAAAAAATGAAGAAGTGCGAGTCCGTACGAAGTGCAGCATCGTGATAATTGCTAGACCAGCGATGATTGCTGTAGAGTAAGAAAAAGAAAACGAGCCCTGTTGAAGCGCTCAGATGTGATGATTGCTAGTCCAGCGATGATTGCTGTAGAGTAAAAAAAAAAGAGAGTGAGCCCTGTTGCAGCACTCAGATGTGATGATTGCTAGTCCAGCGTTGATGGCTGAAGAGCATGGAAAAAACGAAAGTGTGTATCCGTACGAAGTAGGTACACCATCGTGATGATTGCTAGTCCAGTGAAGATGACTGTAGAGCAAAGAAAACAGAGCGAGCCCTGTTGAAGCGCTCATATGTGATGATTGCTAGTGCAGCGTTGATGGCTGAAGTGTGTGTGGAAAAAAAAAACGAAGAAGTGTGAGTTCGTGCGGAGTGCACCATCATTATGATTGCTAGTCCAGCGATGATGGCTGTAGAGCAAGGAAAATAGAGCGAGTCCTGTTCAAGTGCTCAGATGTGATGATTGCTAGTCCAGCGATGATGGCTGAAGGGCATGAAAAAGTGAAATTTGTGAGAGTTCCTCCTAAGTCTATATATTCATTACTAGAGTTGCGATGTTTTCAAACTCATGTTGGAAATTAGAATCAATAAATGAAAGAGAGTATCCCTATGCAGAACCGCATGATACATAATGCAATGACTGCTGATGACTCAAATACAACCAGATAGCAGTGTGTATAGGAACCCACGAAGCTCATTAAAATTATGCTTGGTATGCGTGTGTGTGTGTGAGATAAATGCAAATGTGATGCGTAAATTGATGATTGTGAGTTTAACGATGAAGCAGCAGTAGCGTAGACAGGGCAAATACAAATGATTCTGTGACATACATTCAGAGTTGCGTGTGGAAAAGATTGAAATAAAATTATTTGGATGTGTGTGTATTTATGCTGCAGTATCACGCCGTGAGCGTATGCAGGTGAGGAAATACAGAATTAATTCAAACTGAAATATCATCGATGAGGATGGAGTCTACATGTACGGATCTTTTGTTATGATAGATGTATTTATATTGCAAACTTATTATTTTGAGATTAAAAATCACATATACTATGGGAATTTAGGATATCATGTCTGCATTCCATCATGTTAAGCTGCATCCGGAATCACGGGGAATCACCACGTTTATGACAAGTAGGGGATTGATGCGATTTAAAAGGCTTATGTTTGGCATAAACTGCGCCCCAGAAATTTATCAGAGGATTATGACGGAAATGTTGGCAGGAATTGAAGGTGTAATCGTGTACATTGACGATATTGTAGTATCAGGTAGAACTCGTGAGGAGCACGATTCAAGGCTGGAGGAAGTTTTGTCAGTACTGAAGAACAACAGTGCTAGATTAAACGAGAGCAAGTGCATTATTGGTGTTGAAGAACTTGAGATTCTAGGGTTCAAAGTTAGCTCATCAGGAATAAGTCCGTCAGATGACAAAATCTCTGCCATTAAACATTTTCGGCAACCCGAGACAAAAGAAGAAGTCAGAAGTTTCTCGGGACTTATCAATTTTGTTGGTCATTTCATTCCTAATCTGTCGACACGTACGGAACCCCTGCGACAATTTGTTCGTGGTGATGTTATTGAATTTGGTAACAGTCAGCTGGCAGCCTTCGATGATTTGAGGAACGAGTTGTCTTCCAACGTTCGAAAGTTAGGATTTTATGATCCTAAAGATGTTACTGAGCTTTATGTGGATGCTTCATCTGTGGGTTTGGGATCAGTGTTGGTTCAAAGAGATAAATCAAATATCCCTAGGATCATATCATTTGCTTCAAAAGGTTTGACTGCTACCGAAAGGATTTATCCCCAGACTCAGAGAGAAGCCCTAGCAGTAGTTTGGGCAGTTGAGAAATTTTACCTTTACCTGTTTGGCCTTCGGTTTAAGATTTTCACGGACCACAAGACATTGGAATATATCTATGGAGGAAAGTACCGAGATGGAAGAAGGGCATGTTCAAGAGCGGAAGGTTGGGCGTTGAGGCTACAACCATATGATTTTGAAATAAAACATATTCCTGGTTTCGAAAACATTTCGGACATTCTTTCAAGATTGTGTGATCAATCGGATGATGCTTTTGACGAAGACTCAGAGCATTTTTTGTTAGCGGTTGGAGATGAACTTATGGCTATCACGTTGGATGAAATCAAAGTCGCAACGAAAAATGACCAGGTTCTCCAAGCAGTTATCAATGCTCTTGAGACCGGAAACTGGCCTAATGAACTAATTCGTTATCAGGCCTTTGATAAAGAGCTTGGTGAGAAAGATGGCATTGTTGTTAGGGACGACAGAATAGTGCTTCCGGCCATGTTGAGGCAAAGGGCATTAGAAATCGCTCATAGGGGTCATCCAGGAGTAGTTACAATGCGTAGAATCTTACGAGAGAGAATATGGTGGCCGTGCATGGACAAGGATGTCGGCACTATGATTCAAGAGTGTGCAGGATGTGCAGCCGTAAGTAGACAACATCCACCAGAACCCATGCTGCGGAAAGAGATGCCAGATCGTGCTTGGCAAGAGGTTGCCATTGATTTTTTTTCCGCCAAGGATTGCACAACGTTCCTTGTTCTCGTGGATTATTTCAGCAGATATCTTAAAGTTGTAGAAATGAAAGGTACCAACGCCAGAAAAACTATTGATGCTCTTGAAACAATCTTCAATGAACAATCGTATCCGGAAACTATCCGAAGCGACAACGGACCACCGTTTTCAGGTGAGGAATTTGCAGAGTACTGCCGAAGTAAAAACATCAGGTTGGTCTGTACAATCCCATATTGGCCTCAGATGAATGGGTTAGTAGAAAGGCAGAATCAAGGGATTCTCAGAGCTCTACGGATTGCGAAGGCGACTAATACTGATTGGCGTAGGGCGGTTAAGGATTACGTCCACATGTATAACACGAGTCCTCATTCTATCACAGATAAAGCTCCCATGGAGTTAGTCATGGGACGGCCGGTAAAGGATCTATTGCCAAGTTTGAGAACGGATGCAAACTGGAATCGTGAAGAAAGTGTTCGGGAAAATGATGCAATCAAAAAGTTAAAAGTTTACGCTGATGGTAGAAGACATGGAAGGACATCCGAAATTAACATTGGTGATGTAGTGATGTTGAGAAACTACGAAACTGGAAAGCTGGAGCCAAAATTTCGTCTTGAGAAGTTCACCGTCATAAAGAAAACCGGAAATGATACTATTGTTGTAAATGAAGATGGTGTAATGTATCGCCGATCTGTTACCCACTTGAAAAAATGGCCTGCTTCGAACGTCGGTGTTCCAGACTCTTTGGCAGGTTCAAACAAGTCTACCGATGAAGGAGAAACATCACAGCCGAGGAGGATTGAAAAACGGGTTGCAGAGGAGTCGGTGGGTGGAGATAAGACATCAGAACAGTTGAAACGTCCTATTCGTAATAGAAAGCTGCCGGAAAGATTTAGATAGAAGATATGTCTATTTTTTTTTGTTTTCATTCTGCTTACGATCAATAAATTGTTACAGTTCATATCGGACAAGGTGAGGGATGTAGAGTTAATAATATCAGTTATGGCTACCTCCCTGGAGGAGAGCACGAAGAAGAGAGAGAGTAGTAACTCGAGAGAGGAAAGAGCTAGGAGAACAACGAAGTAGTATACTGGGGGGAGAAGAGTTGCTATCACCGTGGTGTACGGACGTGTAATAAAGTGTGGATATTGAACGTATAATAATTGTTAGTTGTGATTATTTGAGAAAGCCATTCCCTGTCTTCCCTTTGGATTCTACAGCATGTTACACTGAACCAAAGCATCAAGCTGGGATCGAATGATTATTGCCTCATCCAAGTCCTATTACTATTATCAGATGATTTTGAGATGATCGTCATTCGATACATAGTCCGTTGGGTTGAAAGCAATTCAGATGTTAGCCATCCACTTCCTGATACGTTTCAGCCAGAGCGACATACTCAGCTTCCATCGTCGAAAGCGTCACACAAGGCTGCCGACGACTCACCCAGCATACTGATCCGAAAATGCCACCAAATCTTCCCCCTTTTTGCCTCCAAGCTCCAGTCCATCGTTCCTTTCAAATAGCGGTCTAATCAGCCTCCATGAAAGCACTGAATTTCTGACCAAGAGTCCAAGTCTTACCAGAATATTAAAAGTCTTTATCATCCATATGTAGTTTAAA